TTTTTTTTTTGGCGGAACTGGGGATTGAACTCAGACCCTTGGGCTTGCCAGGGAAGCGCTTATTCCACTGAGCCATCTCCCTGGCCCCAAGGGGTGGCTTTTTAAATGTGATTGAAGGGGCTGGTGAGATGGCTCAGTGGTCTAAAGCACTACTTAGAACAAGCTTAGCAAAGCAGAGGGACCATGGTTCAATCCCCCAGCACCACATGCCAGCCAGCCCCGCCCCCTGGTGGGTGGGCTGAACTGCCCCCCCAAATAAATAAATTAAATAAATTAAAAAAAAATAAATGTGATTGAAGTGAGATTATCTGGCTCAGTGATATAGCAGCTGATAATCACTCATTGTTCCACACAATTGGTACTTACTGAAGTGTTTGTTAAAATGGCAAGATGGCAAACATTGGAGATGTATTTAGTCATCAGGGGAATTTGAAGTTTTTAGTCTGGTTTTAAATTGCTCTGGGCAAATACAGCCTGATTTCTTAAAGAATAATAAATTAATCTTGATACATTAATTCCCAAGTTAGGAAGCTAGTTTTAAAAAGATCTTTTATATCCTTTATGCTGACTCTTGTTCTCTTGGCACCTGTCATTCTTCTGTTGTTTTTCTTTGTATCCTCTTGTAGCTGCTGAATTGTTATTTCCTGGTTTCTTGTTAGTCTTCAGAGAGCTTTTGTGTTCATTAGCTGCACTGCTGTCTTTGAAGTCTGAAAGTCTTTCTTTAGTTTCATTCAAGTGGTTTTGCCAGCTTTCAGTGGAATTCTTAATTTGCTGGATATCTGTTTGAATCTGTTTCATGCATTCTAATTCTTGCCTGTATTGTTTGTTTAGTGCTTCTATCATTTTTGTTTTCCTCTATTTTTAAAAATTTATGTCTTCATTAGCTGTGCTGAGCAATTCTTTCATGATTCTTTTTCTTTTTCTTTTTTTGGACCTGAGAGATGCTTTCTGTTCATATTTCTACTATAGCTTGATGGACTTGTTTCTTTGCTTAAGTTGCTATCATTTTAGAAATTTCAGATGTGGGGCTGGCGAGAGGTACCACATGTGCTGGCCCTGAAGCCCCAGGTGTGCAGTGCTGGTGGCGCACACCTGGAATCCCAGCACTGGGGAGGCTCAGATGGGAGGGTCCCTATGAGCCTGATCTGGGAAGCAGGACCTGTATCAACAACAACAGCAACAAAAATAATCACAATTAAAACAACAAAAAAGAAATTTCAGGGTGTGACTTCCACATTCTTCTATGTCCTCATGTCTTGGACTTGTTCTGGTTGAAGTGGAGGATTGAGATTGCCTTTTGCTCCTGTGTGTTGGCCTTTTTTTTTTTTTTTTTGTACTTTAGGGAAGGGTCTACAGGGTGTTCAGGGTCTCACTGCTAGATCAGGCTCAGTGATCCGCCTTTTTACAGCTTCCCAAGTGCTGGGATTACAAGTGTGCGCTACCACGCCCAGTCTCAGTGTGCCTCAGGGGCAGGGCCAGCATGGCAGGCCTGGTGATCGAACCCCCTTTAATCCACTGAGCTATTTGGCTGGCCCTGTTGTGGCGTTTTTGAAACTCTCAATGGTTACCCTGCTCAGCAGTAGTGGGAGAGCTGTGGAACATGGGTCAGTAAGGTTCTTGCCACAGTGAGGAGGCAGGGTAGAACTCCCCAAAGCTTTCACTGCTGGTGTGCACAACTGGCCAGCACTCGGCAGAGCTTCTGTGCAGGTGGTGGGCTTGGGTTGGATTCACCAGGATGCTGAGGCTCCCTGGCGTCCTCTTTAAATTCTCAGATGGTTGGATTGGGCACCAGCACAGCCACTGTACCTCTGTGCTAGGGTCCCCAGGTCAGGGCTCACCAGAATCTCCAAGATCCAACTTTTATATTAATGTGAAATTTAATCTCTAAAAATTCCAGATATATTTTTTACTGTGTAAAGGTAATTTCCATCAAAGGCAAAGTGTTACATGGAGTCTGGCTATTTCTTTATGATAAAAACATTCAGGAAACCAAAATATATTTATGTGTGCTTTTAAAAGATACTGCATCAACTTTTTAGTTTTATTGATATTGTTCCTTTTTGGAGGCTTGTTACAACAGAGAAATTAGAGGGTTTTTTTTTTTTAAGGCAGTTGTCTCAGGCTGCCTTAAGGGCGGGTCTGTTAATGCAGGTGGAGGTGGGGATCGAACTGCGTATCCTGCGCCTGACTGAATTTGCATGAGCAGGTGCTTAAACAACTGAGCTAACCAGCAGGTCCCCTAGATTTAACACATTAGGATTTGTCCAACTTTTTTTTGACACACTGTGCAAATGTTCTAAAATCCCTAGGTTTGACTATTTTCTTTGGTTGTCTTTTATTCCAGAGTACTGCTCGTATTTGTATATGTGTATTTTTCCCTTCCTGCCTCATGTTGTAAGCCACACCCTTATATTTGCTGTTCTTCTGCTAATAGTCTGTTACTAGCTGGCACTCTCTTACTAATCTTTAGTCATTTGCTGCTAAATCCTAATTTGTAGGCCATGTTTTTCTTCCTTTGTCCTTTTGGTCTTCCATTTTTGGTTTTGTTGTATAGACAATCAAGCTATACTGAAGTACTGGGTATTTCAGAACTTGTTACTATGCTGTTGTTTGTTGTGCAGAGTGTGAAGTGAAGATGGCTCATTCCTGAAGCGCGGGGGCCATCATACTCTGCACATAGCAGAAGTGTGTACACATCAGAGTCATTAAAGTCCATTATTTTGTGACACAGGTAATTTGGTGTTACATTTCTGGTTTAATTCATTGATTCACTTACAAATTATTAGCATTAGGAATTGAGTAAAAAATGAGATAGATTTTCACAACTGTGATTGTGATGGAAAACTTGGCTTTGGGCTGTCTTTTTGATTGTTAATACTATGACATTTCTGTATTTTTTCTTTTAAATGCTTCCTGTCTTTTTTTTTTTTTTTTTTTTTTTTTTTTTTTGTGGAGCCAGGGATTGAACTCAGGCCCTTGCACTTGCCAGGGAAGCACTTATTCTACTGAGCCATCTCCCCGGCCCTGTATTTTTTCTTTTGAATGTCATCGATTCTTTAGTTGTAGCTATCATGGTAATAATACCACCTAAAGAACTGTGAACTTGGTTTATGAACTCCTGTCCCAGAGTAACTAGATATTTATTCATGCATTCATTCTTTCTGACTATTTTTTATAGTACTAGGGTTTGAACCCAGGGTCTTTGCTCCAAGCTACATTAATTACATCCTGAGCCCTTTATTTCTTGTTTTTGAGACAAGGTCTAAGTCCTTAAGTTGTCAGGTTGGCTCTGAACTTGCTATCCAAATTTAGCCTCTGAGAGTTCTGGGATTCCAGGATGATGACATGCAGCACTAAGCTTGGTTAGATATTTGTCTTAATGATTTTCTAGTATATGAGCCTTTCTCAGCTTCAGAACTAATTGAATAATTTAATTAGAAACAAAGTCTGAAAGATTAAAAGCTTTGATGTAATAAGTAAAAGGAGATGTAAATTAGCAGAGAGGTAACCAGTACAGTACAATGTGAAGTTAATGCAAGTCTCATATGTAATTTACACATTTTTTGTAGTCATACAGAAGCAGGTAGGGCTGGGGAGACAGCTTGGCACTTTACATGTCTGCCTGGCAAGCATAAGGTCCTG